TTGCTGCCTTGCAGTGCTGGTTCCAGAGTTCAACTGCTGGTGAGCTATCTGTGTGGAGTTTGTATGTTTTCCTCGTTTTCAGTTTAGTTAATTCTGGGTGTTTTGGTTTTCTCCAGTAATCCAAAAACATACTGGTGAGTTAATTAATTTGCTTCTGGCAAAATTGGCTCTGATGTGAGTCTGCGTGTCTGTGTCTCTATGTACTCTGTGATGGACTGGCGTCCCATCCAGGGTGTATCCTGCCTTGTGCCTGTTGCTTAGTGAGACAGGTGTCAGCTCCCCTGTGACCTTGTATGGCATAAACAGAAAATGGACTGATGGATAGTATTATACACATTTTATCAACACTTTACTTGAAGTTTAAAATACTGTTTTGGTTGCTGATTTGAAACATGGCTAAGACAATCTGCAGAACTTCTAACATAGATAGACTTTCTGTAGCAGTTTAACAGCACAGTCTGGTGTAAAGGGAAATCTGTAATCAAACGTATTCCACATTCTTTGAAAAGTTTATTTCACTTTTTAGTTGTATTATGCAGTAGAACCACAGTCACATGCAACTGTTTGAAAAGTTCCATTCTAGTCCTGTGCTTCTCAGTGTTTAAGCATGAGTTTAGGTCTGATAGCACAAGTGTAGACTTACCTAGGATAATCCAATGATTGGACAGCAAATTAACTATATTGCCCAAAACCTTGAATATGTTTTAGATATAATCCCTGAAAATAGTACAGGTTTAAATGTGAAGGACAGAATAAAGGCATAACATGTAATTTGGAGGTGGTTAAAAGTACAGCACTTTGAGTGAACTGAGTCACAAGAAAATGTTCCCAAAACAAGAATCTGAGTCAGATAAAAATTATTAAATTGTTTTTGTTTTTAATTTTAGGATACCTTCTAAAATGTACTAATCCTGCCATTTGTTTTTCGTCTGTAGTGTAATCATACTCATAAACGTATTTTGTTCTGCTTTTTTAAAAAGTACCATTGCCATAATCAGTCCTAAACATTTTAGGCCATGAAACCTGGCAAGAGTTGACTCACTGTCAGTAAATATGTAGTTAACAGTGTTTTTGCTTTGGCCAAACAATCAGTTTAATGTTGAGGCCTAATACAATTATGATTTTTGTTAGTTGTGCTTGACTGATCTGGCACAAATGGGTTAGGTGGGTAGCATCAGTTCATCACCTGATATTGGTGGTGAATTTGACCTGGATTGCTTAAGTCATATAATGCTTGGGCTTTGCAAACTTCCCTAATAGCTTTCATTGTGACATCTGCTGCATTTTTGAAAGAAAACCCATTTACATTGACAGCCACTTTCCCTTTGTTGGAGATTCTCGGTCCCCTTTAAAGAGAGAGTCATGTCTTTGTTACTGTGCCACTTTGCTTGGTCTGCATTCACTATCATGAATCTTCGAGTTGCTTTGCTAATCTTTGACCTTTTGTACATCATTTCCAGAGGATGATTGGCAATGTTGTCAGTCTCCATAATTGCCTCGTATAGCGGTATTGAAACACTGAACGTGCAGTTTGGCTGCCCTGCTATCGAAATGTTAATCTGTGTTTATACCCTCTGTGGTGGGTATTGTTTGATTATTAAAGACAATCTGAACCTGCCTTAAACTATTCTAAACCTTAGAGTGTCAAGTGTTATGCTAGTTTACACTCCTTCTGATAGACTCACTCCAAGGATGCATCTATTTATGTACAGAATATTTATAATGTAAAAAGAATATATATATAGTGATCTGTGTCCTCCTAAAAGGCTCAATAAAAATGCATACCTGTATTTTGCTTTGATCTATCCCTTACACCCCATGTAGTCCAGGACAAAGACGAACAACATACTGGCATGGTTGTGCACTGGCCAACACCTGCATTTCTTCATCTGTTCAAAGTTCTCTGCACTATTTCACCTTCAGAGCTTCACCAGCCTGTGATTTTTAATGTCCTACTTTAAAGAAGCCATCTTCTGCAGGTGACGGAAAAGAGCATTTAATCCCACGGCAAAAAGGTTTCATTTCCTGCCAGCGCCTATGTAACATAAACGGTGTTGACTATTAACTTAGTTTTCTGTTATTTTCCTTCTGACTGTTTTGTCAGCTTCTAACAAATTTGTTTCTGCTGTATTTTGTTGTAATAGTTTAAAATCAATAAATGCAATTAATTAAACGATGTATTATTATTATTATTATTAATCTGATAGTAACATTTTGTGGAAGTAAAGTGTGTTAGTGGAGACTAAACTAAGTTGGACCAGAAACCTGTCCAGCAGAGGACAAACACAAGGAGACAGTGGAGACAGAGGGCAGGACATGGACAAGCAGATGGGGGACAATGGAGAGACAGTTTAACTAGAAGACATCATGTCACTGAGAGATACTGTAAGAGAAAACTGCAACACCTGGAGGAAACGTGGACATTGAGAGATCTCAGGAACTCCCGTCCAGAATCACACGCATGATCTGAAGCTGAGTGTCAGTGATACTGTCACTGTGCCTTCAGGCTACAATAAGCATTGCCATTTCAACTGAAATGAAAATGACCGACGACGTTGACCGCTAGTAACCCCGTCTGGAAAGAGTTCAAAGCACTGTGTTACCGGATGGGAAGGTAAGAATATTTGCAATTTTGTTTCTCTGTTTTCCCCGGTGGGTTGTGGTGGATGATTTTGCAGTTAATAGCAGTATTTTCTGTGCGTTTATGTGAACGGAAACACTTAAGTTTGTCTCCAATATCATACCGTAATCACAGGTGTTGCGGATTTAGCCCCGTCTATTTTAAGTATGCAAATCAAGGGACGTTTAAAGATTCGACCCGTCTTTGTAGCCACTGGAATTGGCAACTTCCTGTATGACAAGACCATTACTGTACAGTGTATTTTATGCAAACTAAATTCGGAAACGTGAAAAAGAATCAGGATTTTTTAAGGGGGCACTATGTACTAAATAGATCTACGTAATTCAAAACACTTCTGCAAAACAACATTGGAAACTTACTGCCTCACACATGCAGACCTTGGAAATATTTGGAAAGAATTTTATTTTCATATAAAATAATAGAATATTTTTAAAGAAAGGTCATCATCCAAGTCTTTGTATTGTATTGATGAAGTAACCTTATTGAAATTTCAATCGAACGTTTACGATTTGTTTTCAATTCAATTGAATTCAAAATGCTTTATTCATCCCCAGGGATTCAGATCATGAATAGTAAAAGGTTAGAAATTAGCGTCAACCTTGCGCCAGAAACAGTGTTTCAGAATTCCCGTCTTTTAAGTTTGGTTCAAGCGCTAAGAATTATACTGTTAGTGTCTGATAGTCAATCTCACTTGTGATTACTGTACAGTACGTCACTCATTGACAGTGGTTCCCCAACACTGTATAACACTGCATAACACAATATTGAGTATCTCTCTTAGAGATGACAGTTATGAGTTATTACTAATACCTAAATACCTGTTGCACGCCGCTTGCACTAGTTAATTGCCAGTTGTCTGATATTCATAAATGTTATGAATGTTGATTTGCAGCACTCTTTGCACTTGACTACAGTAACTTTCTAATTTTATAGATTGGAATATGAAATAATAGCTTTTCTAAGGAGCGATGTGATACTCCATTGATTGCAAAACGAGTTTTTTCATCTTTATCACTATGCTGTTTTCTATGCATACACCGATTCACATTCTATTTGCAGGCATTGCTTTTGATTTGTACAGTATATATTTAGTCCGAAGGAACCTTGTGAAACGCTTATGAAAGTAAGTAAATCATGTCGTGATACCTACTAATACAAAGGAACTAAAGGGATATTCTGCCCTTTTAATTTATTTAGATTGATTTAATCGGTCATGTAGGTTTATTATTAAAAAGCTGTCTTTAGAATCATTTCAGACATTTTGTTTTTAAAAAAAGAAAACACTAAACTTTTCATATCTCAGACTTCACGTTTGTCACATACTGTAGCATACAGGCTTCTCCAAGTCCACTGCAAGTTTTAATACTTTTTCACTCTCATTCGAAAAGATAAACAACTCATGTCCAGTCGCAAAAAAAGTTAGAAAAGCGCATTACAAAGGCGTCTCAGTAGCTTTAATGGTTGAAAAGCGAGCAAACAGCAGTTTAGTCAGGATAACAGATGTACATGCCGGGTGTTTTG